CCCCAAAACCCCAAAACCCCAAAACCCCAAAACCCCATTTTAATACATAAAATTATATTAAAAGTGATTCTTAATATGAAAGTAAGCTTGAAGTTATCCCTGATGACCACAACTGGTTTTACATATTTCTTAGACTATCTAAACCCAACTTCTGCATTATAGATTCGCAGAAAAACAGACGGAGAACACCTCATGTTTTATAAGACATTCTCAGGAACTACTAGTTTCAATGGACTTTTTAAGAGATCCTCCAAGAATTTGTAAGTAGCTTTGGAATTTTATGATTAGAGATGATCTTAGTAAAGTCCACCAAAGAGACGTAAAAAGTCCATTGAATATTTGAAGACAAGGGACTAATTTTTAAAAATTTCATCAGAATTCCTAAAACAACACTTAATGATAAACCTAAGCAAAGGGTTAGGAGAAGGGTATTTTCACATAGTAAGAATATCATTTTTATTATTTTATGAGTAACTTAAAATAGATAGAATTGTTTCCCCATCAAGACCAATTGCAGACCTAATACTGGCCTCTCCAAGTTCAAATTCATGATTAAAATCTACCAATCGAAAGTTTACTAATTCCTTTCTTGATCTCAAGAGATATCCAATTTCCTTACTTATCAGAAGCCCTCATAAGAAAGATCCAGCTAAAAAGTTAAAATAAAGATGAGCAAAAGCTGCTGAGACAATTAGAAATTGTTAAAAATAATAAAATAAACATTCAAAAACGTTTAGACATATGAAAAAGTAATCGTCGGAGACAGATACATTCAATACTAGCAAGTTTCCTCAATAATTCTTGTAGTCCAACCATGCTGATAAAAGCAACAATAAGTGTAATAAGGAACGAAGGATGCTATTTACACCAGAAACTAATGCGGATACACAACTTTCTTTCTATAAGAACTCGAGGTAAATCTACTTTAAAATAGAAATAGAATGAGCAGGCTTTACAGTCCTCAAAACTTACTTGATACCACCAACAAAGCTTTAAAGAGAAAGATTAAACTGGCTAAAAAGAGAGCCAATAAAGAGTCAAAGCTTAAGGTCCACAATGCTGCTATTATCATCCAAAAAGCCTTCAGAGGGTATCAAAGTCGGAAGTATATAGATTGCTACAAAAAGTAACTTCAAAACTTATTTTAGACTCCGGTTTACCAGAAATATCTTAGATGTTAAATTACAAGAAATGCAGGACCATATAGACCAGAAAATGTCAAAATTTATTAAAAACAACGAACCCCAAATAATCCGAATCCAAAGCCTATTCCGTGCTACTCGTGATCGTATTCACACAAAGTAACCCCTCTGCTCCAAAATAGACACCTCAAACGCATCAAAACCGGCTGTAAACTCCTTGAATCTCTCTCAAAATCACACTACACCTCACACATATCCCACTTTTTCCGCTGTCTCACCAAACACTATCGCAAGTTCAAGCTTCACACATGAAAGCTCAGAACCCAGTCACACCTAGAAGCCTTGCTCAAACAAAAACAAGAAGACATGGCCAGTGAGAACAAAGGAAGAAGCAGAAGGCTAAAATTCGCACAAAAATTTAAAAGTGAGACTACCAGTAAAAATGTGAGTATTGACTTGGAAATTATTGAATTTGTTAAGGGAGAAAGGAGCATTTTTATAGGCAACCCCGCAGTTTAACTTCTCGAAAGGGTCTATTTTGAGAGTCCCAGGTGCAGGAGATGGGTCTACACCGAATAGTGGGGAGAATGGAGAGGATATAGGCAGGAATTCATGAGTTTTTATAAATTCTAAAAGTCATTTCCAGTCGGATAGTCAGAAGTTTAGAAGAGGAAAGACTAATAATGAAAATAAGGTAAGAGAGACTTGGGATTGATGAGAGATGGAGGATTTTAATGATTTTAGGGACAAGAAGATATTAATAAGAAAATTAAAGAAATTGAGGATAAGCTTCAAATGATCGAAGAAATTGAACGAAAAAGTTCTATGTTGGAAGGCAGCTTTCTCTCATTAGTAATTTTTTATGACGAGTTTAGAAATTTGATGATTCGGATGATCCAAGCTCAGTCAATTTGAGTGATAATTCTCAAAATATTGATGACTCAAAACTAAGACTGAATATCAATCAGTATTCGTTCTTGACTAATCTTATAGACCTGAAACTCCTCATGAAGAAGAATCGTTAAGCACTCCAGCCCTCTTTTCTCAATCAAAATCCCCTCAAGATACATATTTCATCAGAGAACCAAATGGAAAGGAGACTGAAATCACAGGAATCTGGCACTCTAAAGCTCCTGATACCACCCCTCCACAGCCTTATACCACTAAAAACCAGAAATCACCTGAGAAAAGGCTCAGAAAGTCCAAAAGGACTCATAACAGTATTTTTTCTTATCCCAATCTAGCTCCTCACCATTTACAATTGATTAAAGAAGAAAGTTTCACTCATAAACTCAATTCAAATAATCGAATTGATAATTCCCTCAGCACCAAAAGTGTGCCTCGTTGTTCCAATAGCAAGTTCAAGAAATCTAGAGCAGGATCAGCCGGCTTCAGACCAAAAATGAATACTGATAAAGTTCTGATAGATAATTCAGGGTTTGCAGAAGCAGTCATGAAAACAAACGGAAAGAAATCCCAGATCTTAAATAAACAGTAAAATAGTTGATAAGTCAAGTTGTGTGTTAGAATCACAGCTATTAGGCACCTTGGAAATGATAAGAACAGAAATATTTACTAAATTCCATCATCCTAAGTCCTACAAATCTAGTATTGATGTGCAATATTAATTGTATTTAAAGTAAGATTGGGGTTTTGGGGTTTTGGGGTTTTGGGGTTTTGGGG